ACAGCCTCTGGACACTCTTTATGGAGCACCAACAACAATCGCTTTCTATTCCTGGAGCTACAACCAGTCCTTCATCAAACTCAGCCTGTCATGCACTTCCTCCGGAGACGAAACCCCCCAGAGACTCACAGATTCACCAGCGTCTCCACACTGCCCTTCTGATCTAAAGAGAGATGTTCCCCTCCAATCATTAAACGGATAGTTCACCCAAAAAGGAAAATTAGCCCATGATTTACTCACCCTCATGACATTCTTCTTTCAGACAAATACAATCAGAGTAATATTTAAAAAAAAAAATCCTGGCTCTTCCCAGCTTTATAGTGGCAGTGAATGGCTGTTTTTTGTTTTGAAGTCCATAAAAGTGCATCTATCCATCAAAAAAGTGCATCTGTCCATCATAAAAGTGCATCTATCCATCAAAAAAGTGCATCTGTCCATCATAAAAGTGCATCTATCCATGATAAAAGTGCATCTGTCCATCATAAAAGTGCATCTATCCATCAAAAAAGTGCATCTGTCCATCATAAAAGTGCATCTATCCATCATAAAAGTGCATCTATCCATGATAAAAGTGCATCTATCCATGATAAAAGTGCATCTGTCCATCATAAAGTGCATCTATCCATCATAAAAGTGCATCTATCCATCATAAAAGTGCATCTATCCATGATAAAAGTGCATCTATCCATGATAAAAGTGCATCTATCCATCATAAAAGTGCATCTATCCATGATAAAAGTGCATCTGTCCATCATAAAAGTGCATCTATCCATGATAAAAGTGCATCTATCCATCATAAAAGTGCATCTGTCCATCATAAAAGTGCATCTATCCATGATAAAAGTGCATCTATCCATCAAAAAAGTGCATCTGTCCATCCTAAAAGTGCATCTTTCCACGATAAAAGTGCATCTATCCATGATAAAAGTGCATCTTTCCACGATAAAAGTGCATCTATCCATGATAAAAGTGCATCTATCCATCATAAAAGTGCATCCATCCATCATAAAAGTGCATCTATCCATGATAAAAGTGCATCTGTCCATCATAAAAGTGCATCTATCCATCATAAAAGTGCATCTATCCATCAAAAAAGTGCATCTGTCCATCATAAAAGTGCATCTATCCATCATAAAAGTGCATCTGTCCATCATAAAAGTGCATCTATCCATGATAAAAGTGCATCTATCCATGATAAAAGTGCATCTGTCCATCATAAAAGTGCATCTATCCATCAAAAAAGTGCATCTGTCCATCATAAAAGTGCATCTATCCATGATAAAAGTGCATCTATCCATCATAAAAGTGCATCTGTCCATCATAAAAGTGCATCTGTCCATCATAAAAGTGCATCTATCCCTCAAAAAAGTGCATCTGTCCATCATAAAAGTGCATCTATCCATGATAAAAGTGTATCTATCCATGATAAAAGTGCATCTATCCATCATAAAAGTGCATCTATCCATCAAAAAAGTGCATCTGTCCATCATAAAAGTGCATCTGTCCATCATAACAGTGCATCTATCCATGATAAAAGTGCATCTATCCATCATAAAAGTGCATCCATCCATCATAAAAGTGCATCTGTCCATCATAAAAGTGCATCTGTCCATCATAACAGTGCATCTATCCATGATAAAAGTGCATCTATCCATCATAAAAGTGCATCCATCCATCATAAAAGTGCATCTATCCATCAAAAAAGTGCATCTGTCCATCATAAAAGTGCATCTATCCATCAAAAAAGTGCATCTGTCATCATAAAAGTGCATCTATCCATGATAAAAGTGCATCTGTCCATCATAAAGTGCATCTATCCATGATAAAAGTGCATCTGTCCATCATAAAGTGCATCTATCCATCATAAAAGTGCATCTATCCATCATAAAAGTGCATCTATCCATGATAAAAGTGCATCTATCCATGATAAAATTGCATCTGTCCATCATAAAAGTGCATCTATCCATGATAAAAGTGCATCTGTCCATCATAAAGTGCATCTATCCATCATAAAAGTGCATCTATCCATCATAAAAGTGCATCTATCCATGATAAAAGTGCATCTATCCATGATAAAATTGCATCTGTCCATCATAAAAGTGCATCTATCCATGATAAAAGTGCATCTATCCATCATAAAAGTGCATCTGTCCATCATAAAGTGCATCTATCCATCATAAAAGTGCATCTGTCCATCATAAAGTGCATCTATCCATCATAAAAGTGCATCTATCCATCATAAAAGTGCATCTATCCATGATAAAAGTGCATCTATCCATGATAAAAGTGCATCTGTCCATCATAAAAGTGCATCTATCCATCAAAAAAGTGCATCTATTGTGATCATGGATAGATGTACTTTTATGGACTTCAAAACAGAAACAGCCATTCACTGCCATTATAAAGCTTGGAAGAGCCAGGACATTTTTTAATATAACTCTGATTGTATTCGTCTGAAACAAGAGTGTCATATACACCTAGGATGACTCGAGGGAGAGTAAATCATGGGCTAATGTTCATTTTTGGGTGAACTATCCCTTTAAGAAAGATATTCCCCTCCTCATTAACGGCTGCAGTTCTGCTTCATCTCTGCTCGACATCTCATTCAAGAACATCATAACCGTCAGGAGCGCGCATGGATGTCAGCTTGTTTTGATTGCATGGCAAGTTTCACGAGTTTCAAGAGTCCTTCAGTTCAACACAATGAGGGACGCGTCGCAGGAGAAGAGCCTTTCGCTGAGACCGTAGGAAACTAATACCTCTAGATCATGACCTTTGACAAAAAGCCACCGCATAAGAGCAACACAAACCCTTCACTTGGGAATCCTCGGTTTCACTGCAGCACAAATATCATCCAATATCAGACAAAATGCAACAAAATCCCATATAATTCATATAAATTCCATATATAAATTATAGATGGACCGATAAAGCAGATTAAATGGCCGATATTCCATTGTGACTGAAAATGTACTCAGTATCTGTTTTCAGATTTTTGTGAATTTAGGGTAAAATTTATGCAAAATAAGTGTTCATTTCATTTTCTGTCATTAAATAGTTTTAACAGTAATATTTCTAAAGAGTGACAGACCATTATGATCATCATCAGCGAGTCAGGTTCACAATCTATAGCTATATAGAATAGTGTAAAATGACAATAAGAATTATTATTAATAATAATAATGATTAAAAATAAGTGATTAATTTGATTTTTAAAAATCTGGGTACATTCCGTTTGCGCATATAGCCTACTGTAAATCGGCCATTGAAAAGCGCATAACCTATAGGTAAAAAATGTAAAAACATCCTTCTGCAAAACAATAATCTAAGTTTCAAGATTGTGTAAACAAATTTAAAGTTAGGAAATTGCATACTAAATCGAAATTATGTCATTCTAAATCGAAGTTGTGACATAAATAGAATTGTATGGGAATGTCCCATTGAAACTGGTATTGATGAGGCTTCTGCCTGATATAATGATAGTTGATCATACCTGTAAATGCTTGAAAGCTGCAGAAATGCGCGTGATGTGCAGACTGAGACACCGCGACGCGCACCTCGCGCGATAAACGCTCGCGCTGAAGAACTCGTCGGGTTTCCTCGCGTCTGCGCGCGCGGAGCTCCACAACACGATAATCCACAGGGTGAGCGCGAGCATAGCGAAGCCTGCAGTCAGTGAGTGTGTGTGAGTGTGTGTGTCGCTCCTGCTCCTGCTGCAGATGAAGAAAGTTTCGAGCTGAAAGGGGGGGGAGTCAGACTCAGCGCGCGCGCGCTATTGGTGGAGCTCGGCGCGCGCCCCGCCTCTCCAGACGCAGGTAGATGCGCGCGGGGGCGCGCGCGAGGAACTTCAGATGGGATGATTGGGGAAGTTCTGCTTTTTCTTTTTTCTCTTATATAATATCAATATGCTTTTGCAATATGTGTTTTGTTTTCAAACATGCTTTTGTAAACTATAACATGAAAAGCTGAAATTATTACATAAAAATCATAATTATGACATAAAAGGTTGACTTGTGTCATAATTTAGATTTTTAATCTCACAGCTATGATGTCATAATTTAGTATGTCATAATTTCAACTTTATCTCATTTATTTTCCTCTTCTATAATATCCATATGCTTTTGCAATATGCTTTTTACAAACGTGCTTTTGTAAACCATAACATGAAAAGTGAAAATGATGACATAAAAAATCATAATTAGGACATAGAAAGTTGTGTCATCATTTTACTTTAAAATTACATAATTATGACTTATTATAATACATAACTTCAACTTTATCTCATAAATTAGACTTTTTATGTCAATTATGACATAAAAAATCATAATTATGACATAGAAAGTTGACTTATGTCAAGTTGGACTTTAATCTCATAATTATGATGTCATAATTTCGACTTAATATGTCATAATTTGTACTTTTTATGTCAATTATATGATTATGACAATATAATTATGACATACAAAGTTGACATGTCATAATTTAAATTTTTAGATCTCATAATTAAGATTTAGTATGTCCTAATTTAAACTTTATCTCATAATTTTGACTTTTTATGTCAATTATATGATATACAAATCCTAATTATGACATAGAAAGTTCTGCTTTCTGGCAGGGAAACAGTTTATTTTTCTTTTCATTGATATCAATATGCTTTTACAAACATGCTTTTGTAAACCATAACATGAAAAGTTGAAATTATGACATAATTTTTACATTTTGTGCACATAATTATGACTTAGTATGTCATAATTTCAACTTTATCTCATACTTTCGACTTTCTGTCAATTATATGACATAGAAAGTTGACTTGTGTCATAATATCGACTTTTATGACTTATGACTCTATCTCAAATTTTTCACATTTTATGTCAATTATATATGACATAATCATAGTTATGACATAGAAAGTGGACTATGCCAATTTTGACTTTAATCTCATAATTATGACTTAGTACGTCATAAATTCAACTTTATCTCATAATAATGACTTTATTCGA